GACTAGTGATGATAACTCTATAGAGTKTTATAACTTATTTGTGAATAACAAATAATAAATAACTGATAACTTAATTTATGCAAAATAAAGTTCGAGGTTGTTTGTTTGGCTAAAAATACTGAACAACAGTGAAAATACCTAATAACGGTTCCAATCATATTGACAAGCAAATTGAACCAGTACTGCGCCTAGTTATAGCTACGTTTTATTTACCTCTCGGGCTCTGTGGAATTGTGTGATATAAAATAATTACCGAAGTTGCTAGAACCCATTAACACAACACAATGCAGAATGTTAATTAATTTTTGGCGAACAAGGGAACAATAGACGTGTTTGGCAATAGTTTTTAAAAAGCAGCTAAATCGGAAAACTCTACTGTGTTATTGTTGAAAATACCAAGTAAAATACCAGATTACAACAGTACTAGAATTTCTAAACTAGAATGATGTCCTATTAATAATGCTTACTACATACATAAAAAAGGTCGTTATGCTATTTTTAAGCAGTTTTATGCTAATTCTTTTGCTCTTTTGTGTTTTAATGGGACGTCTAAAACTATTTAACTATCAAGTTTCTGATATGAGTTTTGGGAATGTAGCGTTTTTTGAAAGCAATGAAATGAGCTTGTTAGACATGACATACATTTGAATAGCTTTTGTTTCAGATGAGCGTCTGGTGATTAATATATATTAAAAATTATGAAAACCTTAAATCATCGATGAAGATGCTATAACCCATATAAGTCTTGTGTTCTCATTTTTCTCTGGCGAATAATGAATGTGTCCCAAGTCTTTCAAATAACTGCAACTCGGAATGGGCTTCATTTCAAGTCTAAGTAATTCGTTCCTAATTAAACAGTGCCGTCCATCTCTTATTGTTGAACCTTAAAGAGCATATGAAATGAAAACAGTTTTTTGTCCAGTGAAAAAACGGTATTTCAAAACCCTAAATCTAAAATATTTTTCAATTCTGATAAAAACCTGCCAAGTTACAGCTATTTAAAATTAGAAATTTCTCCCTGATTTTTGTCCCATTTTGGGGGACTGGATCCTAGCGTTGTGACGTCATTTTGTTAGCTAAGTTTTACTGCACTCCGCAATCTTCTCTTCGCGCCAGTAAAACCTCTTTCGAATATATCGGACTGTGAGTCAGAAACTAGCGCGTTATTATGCAATACCGATGTGGATATAGAATAGTCAGAATCAGACGAAATTATGGCGATTCAGGATAAAAACGATAGCTAAAATTAGCTGAAGTGATCGACATAGAATCGCGGCGTATCACTATCAGACCAGCATCGAAGATCCTTATGACTTATATAAACAAACTCTGACTCGAAGAGAAGTGTATAAAACTCTTGTATTGCAGGCGGTTTGGCTTTATTGAAGCGAAAAGTATGTAAACAAAGAAACAGTAACCTTAATGAGAGTCTAGCAGCGAACAGAACACGAACAGAATATGGCTCAGAAGATCGTTGTTCTGTTGTTGTTTAGAAGCTTAAACTGTTCAAGGGAAATTAGTTTTCGATGGGTGTATAGAATCTCAATTCTGTAAACCAACACTTGGACTGTACTTGAAAATGCTGCGTATTGTCGACTCAGATATTACTAACCGCTAAAATGCGGTCTGCTTTACATGTAATAATACAGAACCCGTCGACGCCAACCCGTGTTTCAGTACACTATAAAGTTTTTMAGTAGCTTGAACACGATCGGATTTTGAAACGCTAAAAAAGGTTATTGTTAGTTGT